GGGGTCACGGGAAAAAGGGGCTCACGCAACCTCTGAAATGCCGCATGCCAGAAGCGAGTGGTTCTATGCTTATCCGTCTGATTGCAATGCAACGTGCGGTGTCGGAGGTCATCTGGGTGCTGCCCGCATTCGCGGCCTTGCACCACATTGTAGCCGGCAGACTTGGCTCTCCCCATTGTCCAAATCTTCTGGGTCAGGAAGACGAGGGAGGATCTTTCCTGCTGAGGGTGAGTTCTGGAGAAGCAGGTGCGTTGCGGGCGGCGGCGACGTCTAGGGCGCCGTCAGGCTAATCCAGATTGCCCGCCGCCTCCGTGGATGGCAGGGCGTGCCAGCCAAACTCCATGAACTCTTGGAGATAGACTGGGGAGCACCCTGGTCAGGGGAGCTCAAGTCCTGAGGCAGCCGCGCAAGCGAAGCACCCCTTGAAACTCCAACCTGTTCTTCTGGAGGGGGAGGGGGGAGGCGCTGCGGGGCCACCTACGCGAGCCCCGGTGCTTGGAAGCTCTCAGAAGGATCGACTCCGCCCAGGGGCGCGGCTGCTGGAAACTTGCCATGGCCATGCTGGGTCTGGCGAAGGCCCCCCGAAGAAGCCAGTGTCGCATCAATGCAGGACCGAGGGCAGCTTTCCACGCCGGGCCCCGGAGGATGATGAGCGACGAACCGCGACTTCTGGATGGGCTGCGCGGGCCAGCAGCAGCCAGATACTGGGGGCGCGCCTGCTCCGCCCTGCGCAACCCGAGCTTAGGCACTCCAGGGGCCTCCAAATACACGTCAGACAGGCGAGGCGCCTCAGCTCCGCTGGGGAATTCGATCGGCAAAGCCCCAAGGCCCAAGCCATCCCTACCCAAAACAGCAACGCACGGACGAGCTCCCCATTGAGGTTGACGGCGGCAGGGGTTATGTGAGCAAGCCGCCCCTGCGCGGAGCACCAGTGCAACTGACGCAGAATACTATGTCCCGCCGGACGCCTGCGCTCGCGCGCGCAGACAATTGAACAACTCATGGCGCGCTCATATTGCAAAACAACCGCCGCTGCGGTCAATCATGACCCGCTTATCGTTGCCAACGTGTGCGTGCTACCCCGACGACTTGACCTGCTTGGCGGTCGCAGAATCTGCCGCCGTGGCCTTCTTGGCGCTTGGGCCCTCGCTGCCATCCGGGCTGCTGGAAACATCCATCATATTCTCTTCATAATTGAGCTTCCGTTCCCCACCTGCAGGTACTGGAACACTGGCACCTGGTGGCGCGACTACTGCGGGAACAACTGCACTCTATGGGAAGGGCCATCATTTTCGGGCTTGGCTTTTCTGGTGGCAGTATAGTATCTTCTGCTCCTGCGACGACTGCTGCTTGGTGGTGACTGCTGAGGGTATCGAACAAAGCTGCCAACACATTGACTTGGGCACAATCCTGGCGGGGCATGTCCACCCGCTGGCTTTCTTGCAACAAGAACTGCGTGGAAGGCCCCAAGAAGGTTGGTATGTTTGGCATGCTTACGGACTGCTCCTTGACTCGCCAGGTTGACCGGGACTCCAACTGCTGCACCTGTTTGGTCGTGCCCCCGATCCCTGCCAACAACTTGCCATGCCTCTCACTTGTACTTACGATGGACTCGACAAGGTTTGCGGCCACCTGCGTCTGGGACATGAGCTCGTGACATTGCGTAGCCAGCTGATCCGATAGCGACTGTGCCTGCTGCTCCAGACTCCAGGCGGAGAGCACCTCGGACTTGGCCTGCTTGAGCTTTGCAAGCGCGGCCTGGTGCTCGTCTCAGTTCGGCTTCCACATATTCCAGAACGTGACCTGGGCCTGCGCAAGTGCCACAGGATCATGTTCTGGTTGCTGCTGGGGTTCGCGGCCCATGAGCGTGACATCTGGGCGACGCCATCGTGGGGGGCGGCTTGGCCCGCAGGGGTCCTTCTGCCAGCGGCCTGGCTTGGGCGGCGTTGTAACTTCATCCTGGCCATTGCTACCCGCACGGCTGCAACCCCCTCCTGAACTTGATTGCACATGTGGCTTGAAAGAAGCACGACCACAACTTTGCATGACATGGCGACTAGAGCTATTGCGCCAAGCCCTGCCTTTTCAGCCACGCTTCGTGCATACACAACACTTCCTGTGCGACGCCCTTTCTTGTTCGAAACCCAGCGAGCAATCGTCCACAAAGGACAGATGAGGAACGGACGTTGCGAGAACGTACTGATAGCCTCACGCCTGGACGGACCAAGCACAACAAAGTGTGGCCGTGGGAGACGGGTGGTGCCACCACCTCCCAGTTCTCTTGGGGCAGCATGGCTTGAGCCAGGAGAAAGAGGATGAGGACGAAGTGGAGGAGGAGGAGGAGGAGGAGGAGGAGGAGGAGGAGGAATAATAATAACGAGGAATGGTAGCGGCATAACCAGACTTTCTCAGAGATCGGCGCGGATTTCTTGGATACGCGCTGGACCCCCTTCCCTCGCGGAGCGCCGCCAGGGGGGGCCAGCGCCGATCCAAAACATTCGCGCGGACCTCGAAGAAACCACGCTCGTGCTGTTCTTGTAATTCGACTCGCTAGAGGAAGGGGGGGAAATGATGGAGTTAAGGGAGAGGGAAATGGGGGACTGAGCTGAGACGCGGGGCGCCGAGCTGCTACCCCTCCGTTGCGCGAGCCGCGCCTCGGACACTGCCCGCCGCCAGAACTGTGCGGCGTCCAGGAAGGGCAAGTTGTCCGCGATGGCCCAGACCTGCGCTGGGGGGTCGTCGACATGACTACAGTCGGGGGCTTGACCTAAGGAACCCAAAATAAGGAACGAGGCCCCCTTTTTCCATAAGTTGAACTTCGATTTCCGATCGAAAACAGAAGGAACACCTGAGGCAGGCTGCGAAACACTCAAGGAACGCGGAGCCCCTCCCCAACCAAAAGGGTTCCTTCTTCAGGGCCCCGACTGTACGGTCGGGAACCGTTGCTTGCCGTGTCGCGCTGGCTGTCCCAGCGGCACGCTGTGCCCTGCAAACGGACAGCGTGCCGCTCCGCCTCGCGGGGCGGGCGGCTCGGGAGAAGCTCGGGCGCTGGCGATCAGAGAACTCCTCCAAATCTTCCCCAGAAACAGGAACACCGTCGCCTTCTGAGAAGTCCCGCCGCCTTCTGAGAAGGCATTCTCCTTCTCACTTCCCCCCCTCGCTCGCCGTCGAACTAAGAAAAAGGGTCCTCCTAGATTCGGACGCGAGCCTCCATGGATCAGGCGCGTGGGCGCCAGATCCACAGCGCGGGAAGGCACCCGAAAGATATGAGGCCCGTGTCGCCTGCTTTGGCGTCGAAGCGCGCCGGTTCTGTGCTCGAAGCGGGGCCCGGCGCTGCTCCACACGCCTCAGTCCAGATGTCCGTTTCCTCAATGAAGAAACCATCTCCTCCTGGGGCAACCCCCTTCCACCTCCTCCTCCTCCTCCTCCCCCTCCTCCTCTTCCTCCCTTCCTCCTCCTCCTTCTCCCCTTCTTTCTCCTCCTCCTCCTCCTCCTCCTCCTCTTCCTCCTCCATTCCGCCTCCTCCTTCTCCCCCTCTCCTCCTCGCCCTCCTCCTCCTCCTCCTCCTCCTCCTCCTCCTCCTCCTCTTCCGCAAACCCCTGTCCTCCCTTTACGACCTCCTTGCATTGCGCACGAGCTGTCTCTGGAGAACCTGCTTGCCTCTCACAGGACAGGGCGGCCTGCATGCCTCACCGAGGCCTGGCTGCAAACCTCCTCTCAATACGCGCCAATGAGGACGGTCCGTGCTGCTGGAGGTCCGAAGCCAGCCGGGTCCGAGCGAGGCGCTGCTCGATAAGGGGCAGCGGAACAGAGGGCACGCGAGGGTGGCCGTCTGCAGCGGGCCCTCGCTGTCCTACGTCCCCCCACTGGATGTTGTTCCCAGGCCCCCAGCTTCATTGGGGGAGGAGATCGCCCTCGATTGACGTTCACCCACCAAGCCACAGAGGTCCTCTGAGGCGCGCAAGACAATGGCCCATTCCTATCTGAGGAACGGGCCGATGGTGAAGCATGTGCCATGGCACAAACTTCCTTTCGACTCTTCATATTACCCACGTCTTCGAGAGTCAATCTCCCTGAGCTGGGGGCCTGCCATCTACCAACATCCGCTGGCAAGACCACGAATCTGATTTAACCAACCGAGCCGAAGAACAGGAGCCTGAGGGTCCCGCCAGAGAAATCCTGCCGCGGAACCTCTTGCACACATTAACATGCAAATAACATCGGAACATGAGTTTTTGGACACCTCTCAAGACATCCGACCAAGTCGGCGAAGTCCTGGCAATGCTATCGAAGCAAGCAAGTCTGGTCGGCTGATCTCCCGTGGGCGACAAGTTTGCGTACGCTTTTGGGCTTCCCGTGGGGCACTGCCAGCATGGTTCAGTGATTTCCCTCCTGGCTCGATCTCGGATCTCGCACGCATGGGCAAGAGCAGGAACAGGGGCCGAGAAGAAGCACACCTAGCAAAAAGACAAGGCGGGGACAAGGATGACTAGGAGGATTTCAACCAAAGCTTGTCAAAGCCCCTGCGCACGAGCCCATGACCATAAGGGCGATGGCGAACGTCGCGGCCACGAGCACGACCAGGCAGCCAGAGGTGCACCCGGCACGGTGGACGCATTCCTTGCGAGCCTGCGGGTCCAGTCCCCAAGTGACCACGAGGGAAATCATGCAACGGAACACATCGCGCAGACGCCAACATGTCAAACAGCTGCTGCTTTATCTCTGATTCTCGCAACTCTAGACAGCGATTCGGACTTATCGAACGCGAAGATCACACGAGCTCTCATTTTTCGCCTCTGGTCATGCTTGCGGAATGCACGCGTCGGCCACGATGTATGGTCAACCACAGGACGTGCAACAACCACGTGCAGCTAGTGTGATCAAGTGCAGCAGCAACACAGCAGGCACCATCCCCAACCATGCAAGCGCATGACTGCGCCACAACTGTTGCAGACATGGAGCCGGCAAGCCAGCATGCGCTCAACGTTATTACAATATAACTTGCACATCACGCGATTCCAACATGAAACGCTGATATTCATACGCATGTGTTGGAGCCAAAGGGAGCCATATGAAACACGCTTCTTAAACAAACAATGCGAACATATACGTCCAGATGCTGCGAAACTCAAGCCCACAACATTTCAATAACACACATGCGTGTATATTATCAGAGACATATGCCGCACTACTGATCTACATTAAATGGATGTACATATCGATTTGGGCACCGCTAGTAGTTGACCCGTGCAACACAATATCACAACCACTGCGGCAAGTCTAGATGGTGGGTCGGTTCTGGTTTTCATTAGCGTGAAGCTTTCAGCGAGCGTCCGCCAGCATGGGAGAAGGGCATGAATCAGTCCCGACAACGACACCGCGCTTCCCATGCGGGCCAACCCATCTGGTTGATCATCTGGCGGCCTTGTCGGCGTACGCCACGGTGTGCGCACCTTGGCATAACCAGGCCTCTGCTCTTTCGCAAAGCCTGGGGCACAGGCCTCACCAAAGCATTGTTCAGGCAACTGACCATGACGTATGTGATTGGTCGCTTTTACAATCTAGCTGGAACTCTGAAACAACTTTCACCGGCAGAAGGGATTTCTATATGAGCATGTGCGAGCCCCGCCCACCCGTGTGCTTCTGAGCTCGACGCTCCTCGATCCTCGAGCCTGGGTCCTCCTCGATCCCCCATTCCTTTTCCATGCGGATGCCACTTCCCTGTCGCACCCCTAGACCTGTCGGCAGGGCGGGCCTGGCGTTTCGCCCAAGACTTCCTCACCACTTCTGGTTCTGAAGCCTACTTCGCTGCGTCTGCACGGATGGACCAGAGGTGGTTGTCAACATGTGGCTCTCACCTCACCGCCGCGCGCATTTGCCTTAAAAACTTGCAGCCGCTACAGGGATGGGGCGCACGTCGTTTTCCATATAAGGGTTCTCGCCGTAGCGCGCCGCGCCCATTCGTCTTACACGGTTGCAGCATCTAGAAGGATGGAGCACAGGTCGCTTCAAGAACTGGGGCTCTCGCCTTGGTGCGCCACACGCTCGCCTTAAACAACTGCACTCCTTGCAAGGATGGGGAGGGGTTCTTTTCGGATTGGGCTCTCGCCTGAGCGCCGCGCACATTAGTCTCAACATCTCGCAACATCTACACGGATGGATGGTGGTATGGTCTCGAAATTGCTCTCGCCTAAGCGTCGCGCGCATTTGTCTTAACCGTTTGCAGTACTTACAGGGAGGGTCGACTGTTCCTTTTCAAAACGGGGCTCTCGCTTGATACACGCTGGAAGGACAAGCCATGCGCTTCAACATCTGTAGCCTTTGCACGGATGGGGGGGCGGCCTTTTTCGAAGTGGGGGTCTCGCGTGAGACGTCATCGATGCTCATGGCAAGACATGTACACTCGTGCAACAGCTACACGCATGGGGGACGGTCATGCTTCATAACGGTGATCTCGCAAGAAGCCTCATGCATACTCATATGTGATCGCACCCCTGGCCACGCGCTAGAAGGATGCACGGAAACTCCTTTTCAAAACGAGGCTCTCGCATGCATGGCAGGCCCACGGGTCCTGGTCTTTCAAGGGAGGCGCTTCTTGCAGTGAAGGCGAAAGCTTGTTGGGCCTTCTGGGCAGGGGACTTGGAACGGGAAGGTGTAGTGCAACGTCGCTGATGCATCTTGGGTTGACTGCGGTCCTTCGTACCCCTCCTCATCCTCCCTCCTCCTGCTCCTGCTAGTGCCCTTACACCCCCCTCTCTCCCCATCCTGAGCGGGAACGTCTGGTAGAGAACCAGCTAAGGGATAGGTCGGGCATGTCCCCCTGCAGGGGCATTTTGAACGAAAAATAAAGCATAGTCAAACAATCTCCCCAGATAGTCAAACATAGTCAAAGCATCGTCCCCATAGACTCTTAAAACAACACCTATGTTTGAACATTCGTTCTGTAGAGGGACAGACCCGATTTAAGCTCAGGGGGGGGCGAACATCGACTTGGAATCGACGACCCCTCGCCGATAGGTCGGCGATAGCCCCCCAACATCGAGGCCGCAAGAGTTCCTTGGCGGGGTGGGCCTGCGGACCCCCACCGGCGATGTGAAGAGGCGATCGGGGGTCGATGCGCCCCTCCCGGAGCCTGCCCCCGCGAGCGCTGCCTCTGGAAGCCGGGACGAGCCTTAGCTCGGGCATGTCCTCCAGCAGGGGGATTTGCTGGACGAGGAATAAACAGTAGTCAAACCATATTCCAAAATGGCAGCACACAGTCAGCAGATCCTCCCCGGACCATTTTTGCAACCGTTTTCGGATTTGCCTCCTGTAGAGGGACGTGCCCGGCTTCAGACGAGCCTGAACCCCGGTCGCGCTGCGCCTGGGGCTCGGGAGTCCAGAGCCCCACGGCGGGAGCGCGCAGACGCCGCGTGGCAGTCGACCCCCGTCGGGCCAGGATCGGGCTTGGGGGGCCACATGCGAACCCTACCCCTGCCCCCCACGATTTCATAGCCCCAAAATCGCGTAGCGGTTTGGGGGGCAGGAAAATCTTCAGGGAGGCCTTTTGTGGGCTTCTTGGCTTCTGTGCCTCTGGGCTTCCGTCCTTCTCACAGCCTTGGCACCGCTGTGGTGCAGCGGAGTGGTGTCTCACGGCCTTTCGCTGCAGCGCAGCAGGCGGATGCTCACGGCCGTGCGCTGCATTGCAGCAGGTGGTTCTCACGGCCGCGCGCTGCGTAGCGGCAGGCGGTTCCTCCTCCTTCTCCTGCCGTTGGTTGGTTGGTTGGTTGATTGGCGTGCCTTGGGCCGCGCTCCGCTGTTCCTGGGCTGGCAGGTGGCGGCGGCGTCGCAGTGAAGGCTGCACGGGGGCCGGCGCCCACCGTCGTTCCCAGGCCGCGCGGTGCAAGCGCGCCCATTGGCTGAGTATCTCGAAGCCCAGGCTGCAACGCACAAGCGTTCAGTGAAGGCTCTTTCGTTCAAGTTGTCGGACCGCGTCGCAGAGCTGAGCATGGAGAATTTCCCTGAGGACCTCCTGCCATCTGAGGAAGGCCTGGCTACCTTCGAGGAAAGGGGCCGCGTGGCCAAAGATAAGGGCCGCCCATACGTGGGGAGCGCTGATGGAGAGGATCTCCAGAAGCATTTCCGCCCCGCTTGGTCGAAGATGCCGCGCATTGATGTCCCCGTTGGCGAAGGCAGCGTTGCTGAGCGGCACCGCCAGATGGTGGATGTCAAGCGCGCCAAGGCCAGCGGGGAGCTGGAGTATCCTGGGTACGCGTCCTTCCAGTCGCACCTGATGGATTGGGGTACTAAACTGATCCTCATGAAGGTTGCGACGCCCGTGGACATCCTGGGTTACACGGGCCTCCTGAGCAAAATGGCCGAGGATAATGGGGGCGTCCGGACGGCGTACCAGTACGACCTGCTCAACCGGACCGCCATGGCCAAAGCTTTGGAAAAGGGCGATGCTGGGTGGAAGCGTTTATTCTCCAAAGTCGACATGGACAGGCTCCGCGAGGCCAAAGACAAGGTCACGAGCAGGGCGGCCGAAGCAGCGAAAGCAGCTTCTGCGAGGGGTTCTGGCGCGGCCAAGGGCAGCAGCGGCGGCAAGGGCGGCGGCAAGGCCCCGAGGTCTCTCTCACCAAAGGCGCCGCCGCGCTCGCGCAGCCCCCGGGACAGTGGCTGGCAGCAGAGCTCGAGCTGGAAGCAGGACAGCTGGCGCCAGAACGCCTGGTCGAAGAAGAAGTGAAGCCAGAGCCGGAGCTGCAGCTCAGGCTCCAGCGACGATTCCCGCCGTTTTGATGCGGAATCGAGCGATGTAGCATCGCATGCTTGCCGCAGTTTAAGCGGCGCTGCCAGCGCGCCCCGCTCCCCCCAGCGGCGGGTCGAGCCTGGATTTAAGCTTGAATTCCCGGCCTTTCCTGGCCTGTGCCGGATCCGGGAGCTTGTGCATAATTTCCTCTCTGCTCCGGGCGTGGAGACTTTAAATCCCCTGCAGCATCTAGAGTGGGCATTGGCCCTTCCTCCCGGCGAAGACTCGCCAGTTTTGCCTTTCCAGCTCCAGAAGTGGCTCGACAGAGAACTTTCTCTCGACCCGCCCCGTTTAGCGCAGGCCCGCTACGATAGTCTGCAGCATTGGCGTGAGCGCAAGCGCGTGCTGGACCCACTTTGGGCGCGTGAATGGGCGCTGCTGCCTGAGCACGTGCGTTGTGTGTTGGGTCCGAAGAAAAATCTGCTTGTGCTTTCCGAAATGCTCCAGGCGCTGGAATGGCCCGACCAGGCTCTCGTGGATGATCTCAAGCGAGGTTTCCCTTTGATAGGCGCACTGCCGCGGAGCGGGGTTTTGCCAAGCAGCTCTTTTGGTGATTGCTTGGAATCTGCGTCTAGTCTGCGCGAGCAGGCCAGCGAGATCAATCGCGATACGCTCCGGCGTGTCGGACGCCCAGATTGCCTCGAAGCCTCCGTTCGCCAAGTTTTTGAAATGAAGTGCGAGCGCGAGGTTGCCGAGGGCCACGCTCGCTGGCGCGCTCTGGACGACAGTTGCGTTCTCAGTGCTCGTTTTCCGGCCGACGAAGGCTGGAGAATGAAATTCGGCAAATGGGAGCGCAAAGTGCGTTGCATAGATGACTTCACAGCGTCCAAGGTGAATTTGGCAGCATCGCCATGCGAGGTTGCCCAGCACGACACGCTGGACAGGTTTTTGGCTGTTCTCTGCAGGGTCATGCTGGCCAACGCTGGTGGAGCCGCGTTGCGCAAGGAGGATTTTGTCAACGCGTTTAAGACGCTGCCCCTCGCCAGCTCTCATTTGCAGTTTGCAGTTGCGACGTGGGGCTCTGCCGCCAGTCGCGGCCAGGCTCTCCAGCTCCTTGCATGCCCATTTGGGGCAACGGCGTCAGTGTACAGCTGGGAGCGGTTCGGCGCAGCCGTTCGCGCCATTTTGGCTGAGCTGTTTTTCGTCGTTTTCTTGCGTTTTGTCGACGATTTGTTCGGCGCAGATCGCGTGCTGCACGGAGCGCCGCACCTGGCAACGCCAGCTGGCGCATCTGACGTCGCGCGTGCCGTTGTCACTGATCTGCTCGGCTGGGAGTTGGACAGCGAGAAAAGAGTTGCGCAGGCGGACGCTGCGCCAGTTCTTGGCGTGGACTGCGCAATTGACAAGGACGCCGGATGCGTTATTGTGGCCATCCCTCCGGCGAAGATCGCTGAGTGGACGTATGAAATTCGAGACGTGTTGGCTCAGCAGCGCCTGCTGCCAAACGCAGCGAAAAAGCTCGCTGGGAAACTCAGCTGGGGCTCGTCTGCAGTGTTCGGCCGTGCTGGACGGGTGCATTTGGCCCCGCTCTTTTACCACGCGTCGCGCTGCAGTTCGTCTTTGTCTGGCCGCGTGGAGCGCGCGCTGCGCTGGTGGCTCTGCTTTCTGGAGTGCGTGCCCCAGCGAATCGTTCCCTGCGCCAGTCCACTCGTTAGGACTCGGTGCATCGTCTATTCCGACGCGACAGGGCATGGCAACGTGGCGTGGGCCATCTGTCTGCCTAATGCGCGGTTTTGGGCGACTTCCCAGGTGCCTAAAGCTGTGTGGCGCTGGGCGTGCTTCAGAAAAACACAGATTGCTACGTGGGAGCTGCTTGCAGCAATCTGCGCGCTGCAGTGGCTTCTGGGGCAAGGTCTCGGGGACCTCGATGTGCTTCTTTTCGTGGACAATAAAACTGCGTTGGGGACGCTGGTCCGCGGCTCGTCCAGGCAAGCAGACTGGAACGAGCTGATCGGTGACCTTTGGCTCCGCGTAGCCAGGACAGGCACGCTGCTGTCGAGTTTCTACGTGCCTAGCCAGTTGAATCTCGCAGATGCGCCAACGAGACCGAAAGAAAAATATGCTTCGCTGGAGGCGATGCAGCGAGCAGGTTTCACCAATGTTCCGTGGAGCATGCCATCAGACGCACCATGGCCCCAATGACTGCCTTGCGGCCTGCGGTCGGAAAATGCATCGCCCGCATCGTCAGTCATCGAGTGTGGCGTTTGTTGCGCTTGTCGCGCTTCTGCCTGCTGCCGAGGGCTTTCCGTAGCCCCAAGGCCCAAATGCTTCAGTTCATTGGCAAAAGCCGCGCCCAAGCCATAGCAGCAGCCAGCAACGCCGCCAGTGATGGGCCAGGAGGCGGCCAGGCCGAAGCCGCGCCCCCGCTTGGCCTCCGCGGCGCTCTGCCAGACTTAATCCGACAAGCCGCGGGCACGCGTGCCCCGGGAGTTGGATTGGAAGAGTTGTGTTCTGGACTGGCTCGTGCTGGCGCTGAGGACCCCCTGGATTTTTCAGGATTGGACCAAGACAGCGCCCGTATCATTTGGAAGCCGCTGGCAACGTGTACGCCTGAATTCCTTTCCAGGTTATTACGTTTATGCGACAATTACTCGTCCCTTGCTCAACGTGGGTTGGCGCAGACAGTGCCATCGCCAGTCGGCGGTCGGACCGAGGATGCCGAGGTTGCCGCGGCAGCCCAGAAGCCCTTCCCCGCGCATACGCCCCCCGCTTTTGAGGCGCAGTCTGGGCCGCAGCGCGGGGACCGAGGCATGGCCGCACTGGCGCTTGTCGCGCAGGCCAGACAGCAACGACTGGCTCTGGCGCCGGACGCGCTCGCCAACGCTCTCCGGGACATGGCCAAATTGCCCGACCAACCGTTCGGAGTGCTCGAGTTAGGCCCACGGGCTGTTGCAAAACGAGCTCGGAAGGACGATGCAAGCGTGGATTCGTTCGAGTTGCAAGCTACGTGGCTGGAATTGTTGTCGCTTCGCGAATCCCCACCAGCCCATCCAGAAACGATGCCCAGAGGAATTGCCTCGATCAGAGAAGTGGGCAGCACACAGAGGAAGCCATTATGAGACATCTTGGGATATCTTGAGCCATCTTGGAGGTCATTTTGGGCTCTCCCAGACGCTCTTGGAGTCATCTTAATCCGTGCCCCCCCCCAAGAGGCCTCCATGTGGCTAAAACCTGTGTAGAATCAATGATTAGGCATTCTCGCCGAGGCCTCTTGGAGCATCTTGGGTGCATCTGGGGGGGCTCTTGGGGCCTCTTGGGGGTCTCTTGGGGGCCTCCGGGGGGCCTCTTGGGGGCCTCTTGGGGCCATTTTGGGGCCATCTTGGGACCTCTTGGGGCTTCCTGGGCGCTTCTTGGGGCCATCTTGGAGGGAGTCGATCAAACAAGAGGGGGGGGTGAATTAGCGCCCCCCCTCGGAAGCCCCTAAAATCGCCTCTTGGACCCCTCTTGGAACGCTCTTGGAGTGCTCTTGGGCGCTCTTGGGGCCGTCTTGGGGCTCTTTTGGGGCTCTCTTGGGGCCCTCTTGGGCCATCTTGGAGCCATCTCCAGGCCTCGGATGGCCATCGGAAGCGAAAAGGCGAGAAAGCAAAAATCATTGATTTTCCTTAGGTTTTGGGACGATTTTGGCCTCTTCGGGGCCTCCTTGGGGAGCTGTTTGGCCACTTGGAGTTATCTTGGGGCCGTCTTTGGGCTTCTTGGAACCATCTTAGGAGCCATCGTGAGCGATCTTGCGCTATCTTGAGCCATCTTGGAGCTCATCTTGGGTTCTCTGAGGCGCTCTTGGAGCCGTCTTGGGCCATCTTGGACGCTCTAACTACCCGCGGCCCCCCCCGTCCAGGTCCAGGGGAGGGGGTAGGGGGAGGGGCAAACCCCTCCCCAAGGGGGAAGAGGGAGGGGTGGAAGAGGATCTGCTCTAGACCACCTACGCCCAGAGGGCTGGTGGGATTCTCTGGTTGGAAGCGCAGCGCGTCGCAATATGCGAGCGCGGTTCATCTGTGGGGTCAGGCCGCGGCCCTGGCGCGTGAACCGCCGTGGCCGCCGTCGCACTCTTCCGCGTCAGCTTTCTGTGTTTTCTTCCGCAGCAGTGCTTCTCTGGGACGTTATTTCTCTCATATCCGGTCGGTGTTGGCCCTTCTACGTGTTCCTACTAGGAAATTGAGCGATACGACACGGTTAGTGAGAGGCGCTCAGAAGGCAGCGGCCAGTCGAGTGCGCCCACATATATGGGCATCCAAGGCGCAAACGCGGGATTTGGCACGGTGGGCAACTGACGCCAATCGTCGTGACTTGGCCCTGTCATACGTGGTGGCTCGGCACTTTTGTCTGCGGCACGCTTCGGAGGTGCTTCCTTTGGGCTCGCCTTCAGCACTTTACCGGTTCAACGGCGGAGGCACAGAGGCAGTTGTCACGTTCACCCGCAGAAAATGCTACAGCACGCCTGTCGAGGTAGTTCGCAAGTGTTTATGCGGGGACACGCGAAGTGATCTTTGTGGCGTGTGTGGCCTGCGCGAAGCTGCGCATGGTAATCCTCTGCCTTTCGCACACATCACTTATGCGGAAGCTCTGGGATTTCTGAAAGCTGGTGCTGCGGCTATAGCTTTGCCCCAAAATGAGCACTAGGGCACACATACGTTCCGGCGAGAATTCGCCAACGACGCTCTCCAGGCAGGTGGTTTGTCAGCCCTCTTCTGGTCTGGAGGCTGGAAGGGCGTGGCCGCTTTCGGCTATGCCACTGCCCAATCTCGAGGGCAATTTGCAGCTGCGCAGTGGCTCACCGAACACTCGGAATCGAGCGGTGACGAAGACGAGAGAGCGTCTTCGCATGCATTGGGCGCGGAAGCCAAAACAAATATCCCTCATCGTCCGTGGCAACGTTCGCCCTGCGCCTGGCGGCTGTCCGCGCATGCTGTCGTTTTCGGGCAGGGTAGCCAATTGGCCCAGACTGCATGCGTTGGGCCCTGGTGGATGTCCAGTCTGGGCCAACCTGGCGGCGCCAAACATTTCCGCTCGCCAATTGTTAGCGCGGAGGCGACGCCCAACTTCACGGGCGCATGGCCGAACGCAGAAGATTTTCATAGCCCCAAAATCGCGTAGCGGTTTGGGGGGCAGGAAAATCTTCAGGGAGGCCTTTGTGGGCTTCTTGGCTTCTGTGCCTCTGGGCTTCCGTCCTTCTCACAGCCTTGGCACCGCTGTGGTGCAGCGGAGTGGTGTCTCACGGCCTTTCGCTGCAGCGCAGCAGGCGGATGCTCACGGCCGTGCGCTGCATTGCAGCAGGTGGTTCTCACGGCCGCGCGCTGCGTAGCGGCAGGCGGTTCCTCCTCCTTCTCCTGCCGTTGGTTGGTTGGTTGGTTGATTGGCGTGCCTTGGGCCGCGCTCCGCTGTTCCTGGGCTGGCAGGTGGCGGCGGCGTCGCAGTGAAGGCTGCACGGGGGCCGGCGCCCACCGTCGTTCCCAGGCCGTGCGGTGCAAGCGCGCCCATTGGGCTCGCATCCCACCCATTCCCGCCCTTGTGGCTACGCGTTTGTTGGGCGGCGCCTTGGTCAGGTTGGGGCCCTGGTGGATGTCCAGTCTGGGCCAACCTGGCGGCGCCAAACATTTCCGCTCGCCAATTGTTAGCGCGGAGGCGACGCCCAACTTCACGGGCGCATGGCCGAACGCAGAAGATTTTCTGAGGGGGAGGGTGGGGTTCGCTTCACTCGGGAGCTCCCGAGTGAAGTGAACCCCACCCTCCCCCTCAGAGGTCGTGGGGGGTAGGGGTAGGGTTCGCATGTGGCCCCCGAGGGCTGCTCCCCCACCCCCGCCCCTGAGGTATACCCCCCACCCCACGTTTCATCGCACCGGCCTTGCAGACGTGCTGCAGCGGATCTCTGCGTGGACTTTTGCCCGAAGCCGGCGAGCGACAACCGAAGTGACTTTCGCGTGGTTTCTTTTTGGCCTTCATTCCTGCCCCCCTCCGAAAAAATCCGCACGACATTCGCTTCGAACTCCGGACCGAGATTCTCCAGGACACCCCGGGCCCACCCTCTCGCTTTCCGAACGAGATCCGCTCTGCGATGTTGGCGCCATGCAGCGTTGCCCCCCCTGGCACCCCCCTCCTCGAACGGTAAGGGCACGACCCATCGCGCCGAAGCCCCAGCGCCGGCGGTAGTGCTTCCCGCCGAGCTCGGAGCTCGCAGGGCAGGGGGGGGTCATCTGCAGGGGCGACAGCACGGCTCCTCGGGGTGGGCGGAGGGGGCGGAGGGGAAGGGGGGATTGGAGGGGGGGGGAGGGGAGGGACGCGGAGAGCGGAGAGAAGACGAAGACGAGGAAGACAAAAATTAAGAAGAAGACGAAGACGAATCCAACCAGCCCTTGACGGCGAGAGTGGTTTCGAGCGCTTCCTCTTCCAACCCGCCTTCTTTCTTGTCGGGGAGGGGCTTATCATTGTTCCCTATCGACGAACACCCCCTCCCCCAGGCGACGGGCAGCCAACCAGGACCAAGGCCGACCCTCCCCACCATCCCTGCCAAAAAGAATAATGTAGAGCACACGTGGCGGCAAAATATGAACCATGCTCGGGGGGCCCGCGAACACGATGCATTAGCTTTTGACAAAGGGGCATATTGCTGGCCGCGCGCAAGCCAACCATCCTTGTCGACAATAACAATACACCGTTCACTTGGTTTCCGATTCTGGAGCATGCGCGGTCGCCCCGCGACCACTTTCAAATAGGCTTTTCATAGAATTGGCACGCGGCAGTACGTTCTTCCAAGAGCTACCACACCCTGGAAACGGATGTGGCCTTAATGCCAACCAAAGTCGCTCTGCCGTTCTCCTGAGATTCACAAGCGCTGTCGAGCGCGAGCCGTACGCACCTCCCACATGCTTTGAGAGGGCACCTCAAGGTGAGCGTCGGTCCCGAGCAGAGAGCTCTGGTGATCGCCCAGAGTGTCTGGCCTGCTGCTCCCACTCCGACGCGGCCACTGTGCGTGCGAGCACCCACGGTGCGGCGCTCTGGGAGAGCAGGAACTCCGTCCTGGGCGTACCAAGCACGTTGGACAAACATATGAACAATTGAATTGCGAGCTGCTGCGAAGAGCCAAAGCTTGAAGCGAAACTGGCAAGCTTGGCTTGATAAAAAGCAGCGCCGCCAATGTATGCGAGCGACAGAACCTGGCGGCAGCCAGGCAGTGGATTACCACTGGGTTCTCGGAGCTCGCACGCGGCAATACGTTCTTCCAAGAGCTACCACGCCTTGGAAACGGGTGTGGCCATATTACGATCCAAATCGCTCTGCCGTCGTTCTGAGATTCACAAACACTGTCAAGCGCGAGCCGTACGCACCTCCCGCATGCTTTGAGAGGGCACCTCAAGGCGAGCGCCAGTCCCGAGCAGAGAGCTCTGGTGATCTTCCAGAATCGCAGCGTCGACCCTCAGAGGTCTGGACCCTTCCCTGGGACCGGTTTCTCATCCTCAGTCGTTTTCTGGTGGTCCTGGGGCCCAGCAAGGGCCCCTTGAGGCCGAAAATTGTGAAAAACCTGCCGTCGTGTTTTTTTCACAGCGCGAGGAGGAGGTCTGGGAAGGGGGCGGCGTTCTTTGTTTAGCGCTCCTAACCTCAGCAGCCCGGCTGCAAGCCAGCCGTCGCTTCGCGGGCCGGAGGTGCCAGAGCTCGCCCCCGAGCCTCGAGAGGGGGCGCTCTGGGGCGTTCTCGTTGGGTGGCCTCCGGGGGCCTCCCAGGGCCGGACCTGGACGTCGATGGTCATTCTGTCGCCGCTTTGCTCTTCGACGCGCGCTCTGCCTGTCCTCCTCTGCCGCCCGGCCACAGCGGCCAAACAGCACACTTGAGGGATGAAAAAACAACCCTTCCCTGGGTTACAAGGTCATGGTCTGTAAACCTCCTGGGAACCCCCAGCGCCTAGAGCCGCCAGGACGCGGCACATCACGCAGGATTTACCCTGTCAGCCCACCCTAGTTTCAGCACACAGCACCACGTAAACCAGGGTAGGGGCGTTTCTTATGCCCTTGACACACCGCCGAAGCCCAGCACAGCGGCGCTCAGGTGTCCAGCCCTGGAGGCCTCCGTAGGGGGGCCTCCGCAGGGGGGGCCTCCGTGGGGGCCTTCTGGCCGCCGGGCTCCGCGCCCGGGCCTCCGACGCTGCGGTGCTCTCTCCGTGCGCGCCCCCGGGAGGCCCCGACCCCCTGCGTGGGGGGGAGGGGGAGGGAGGGGGAAGGAGGAGGAGGAGGAGGAGGAGGAGGAGGAGGAGGAGGAGGAGGAGGAGGAGGAGGGGGAGGAGGAGGAACTGGGGCGACGACCGGAAGCGGGCCTCACGCGAGCCGACGCAGCGGCGCGGCGCGGTGGCCTTCCCGGGCCGCCCGCGGCACGGCGCAGCTCGAGCGAGAGCGCTGACAGGCGCGCGGCCTCGCGCGGGCAGCGTGCGCGCGCCACTGTCGGCGCAGGCGGCCCCTCTCCGTCGCGTCGCTCAGCTGTTCGCCCCGGGCTCGTTCCTCGTGGGTGGAGGGTGAGTCGGGTCGGGGGCGAAAGGGGGGGATAGCAAAAAAGGGGGGGTATTGAGAATCAGCTCACGGAGCTGATTTTCCCGGCGCCTCCCGGCGCCGGAGGCGGCCATGTATCGAGGAATGGGCCCCTCGGTGAGGCCGAAACCAGCTGCATGCAGCAAATTTCGTAACCCCCCCTTTCCCAATCCCCCCCTTTCGCCCGGCCCGAGTGAGGGCCAGCAGGCCCCCGAAATCAGGGAGCAACGCTGGGGTTGCAGCGGTCACGTCACAGGTCTGGAGGGCAGGGGCGCAGCTTGCCAGGTGCTCACGGCTGCCAGACGAGGCGCGGCCAAATGGCCACGCCGATGGTGTTTTCCCTCGTGTGACGGCCAAGTGATGATACCTTTTCAAATGATGGGCCGGGGACTCCACCATACCAGGCCGACACGGAAGAGGCGGAGGGGGAGGAGAGAGAAACAGAGAGGAAAAGACAGAGATAGAGACATAGAGAGAGAGAGAGTGGAGAGAGAGAGAGAGAGAGAGAGTGGAGGAGCGACGCTCCGGCAATGAGCAGGGCGGGCGGAAGCCGAGACTCGCCACGGCCACACTTCTCAGCCACTCGGCGGGACGAGGCGTGCTCGATGGAGCAGCGCCAGGGAGACCGCGTGTCCGCAACCGCATGGTGATGACGGACAGCATGGCGACCCGGGGGCCCCCAGCGACCTCACCGCGCGGACCGAAACAGGCGGAGAGAACGGCCCCAGCCCCAAAACCGCATGGTGACCCCGAGCCCCCACCGACCCACCGCGCGATATGGTCAAACACCCATTGGTGATTGGCCAATTCTCCACCACCACTACCATATGCAGGACGATGGAGAAGGGAGGATAGGGAGGTCCTCCTCCTCCTCCTCCTCCTCCTCCTCTCCTCCTCCTCCGCCTCCTCCTCCTCCTCCTCCCCTCCTTCCTTCCTCCTCCTCCTCCCACCTCCATCCTCCCCCTCCTTCTCCTCCTCCTCCTCCCACCTCCTCCTCCTCTTCCTCCTCCTCTTCCTCCTCCTCCTCCTCCTTCTCCTCCTCCACCTCCTTCTCCACTCCTTTTCCTTATGCATGACTTCTCCCTTTCGCACCCCGAAGGCAATTTTTATGGCGGGCTGGGCGTTTCGCCTGACACTTCCTCACCCTGTATTATTCTGAAGCTTAGAAATGACAGCAATTTCAGAGATGGAGGGCGGGTCGTTTTCAAAATGAGGCTCTCGCCTTAGCGCCGCGCACATTTACTTACAACATGCAAGAGTTTCACGGGTTGAAGGCGGGTGGATTTTAAACTGTCGCTCTCACACTCACTTAAAACATGCAAAAGCTTCACGGATTAAGGGCGGGTCGTTTTCAAAATGTTGCTCTCGCCTTAGCGCAGCGCACATTCGCTCGTACAACCTTGCAAGAGCTTCACGGATTGAGGGCAGGTCGTTTTCAAAATGTCGCTCTCGCCTTAGCGCCGCGCACACTCGTTTCACATATTTGCAAGAGTTTCACGGATTGAGGGCGGGACGTTTTCAAAGTGTGTCTCTCGCCTTGGCGCCGTGCACACTCGTTTTGAAACTTTGCAAGAGCTTCACGGATCGAGGGCGGGCAATTTTCAAAATGTTGATTTCGCCTTAGCGCCGCGCGCATTCGTTTCAACAAATTGCGTGAGCTTCACGGATTGAAGGTGGGTCGTTTTCAAAATGTTGCTCTCGCCTTGGCGCCGCACACATTCGATCCGAACATGTGCAAGAGTTTGGCGGATTCCCATGTTCATCATACCAGAAAGTGTGTTTAGAAAGATTCATGACTATGCGGGTGTAAGAGTTATGCTGGTTCGCGGTGTTGACGTCCCAAGAGTGGCGTCCTGGCACGATTCCCAGATCGTCAGGACGCAGCAGTCAGGTTGATCCGTGGCGTGGGAAACGAGAGAACCATGCTTTGGCAGGCTTCAAGGTCTTCGAACGATTGTCGTCCAGCGATGCAGCTACCTCAATGGAAATAAGCCGTTGCAGGGGCCTATGAAGAGGGAGCTTGGAGGGAGGGCCAAATCCAACACCGTTGATGACTCTTGTGATTGCACTGCTCCTCCTCCTCCTCCTCCTCCTCCTCCTCCACATCATCCTCCCCCTCCTGCTCCTCTTCTTCCTCCTCCTCCTCCTCCTCCTCCTCCCCCTCCTCCTCCTCCTCCTCCCCCTCGTGCTCCTCCTCCTCCTCCTCCTCCTCTCCTCCTCTCCTCCTTCTCCTCCTCCTCCTCCTACTCCCTCCTTCTCCTCCTCCATCCTCCTCCTCCTCCTCCTCCTCCTCCTCTTCCTTCCCCTCCTCCTCCTCCTCCTCCTCCTCCTCCTCCTCATCCTCCTCATCCTCATCCTCCTCGTTCCCCTCCTCCTCCTCCTCCTCCTCCTCCTCCTCCTCCTCCTCCTCACCCTCCTCCTCCTCCTCCTCCTCCTCCTCCTCTCCTCTCCCCTCCTCCCCCTCCTCCTCCTCCTCCTCCTCCTCCTACTCCTCCTCCTCCTCCTCCTCCTCCTCCTCCTCCTCCTCCTCCTCTTCCTCCTCCTCCTACTCCGCCTCCTCCTCTCCGCCTCGTCCTCCTCCGTCCTCCTCGTCCTCCTCGTCCTCCTCGTCCTCCTCCTTCTCCTCCTCCTCCTCCTCCTCCTCCTGCTCCTCCTCCCTGCTCCTCTCCTCCTCCTCCTTCTCCTCCTCCTCCTCCTCCTCCTCC